GGTTCAGAACACAAAAAGGCATTTTAACTAATAATGCAGGCTTCAGAACCTTGTTCTAAAGTAAAATGTGGAATATTGGAGCTGAAGATTCAGCAGAAACTGGGAGAACTACCTGGCTGGGACGGAGTTACTGGAGGAGAAAGCACAGCCGAAATGGACCTGAGCAGGGAGGGAGAGGGGAACAGCAAGAACCTGAAGTGAGGAAGTGGCTGCATGAAGTGGGTGAGGGCTCATGATAGGAATAGCAAAAGTTAAATACCACCAAAAAAAAAAAAGGATGTGCAACACCCAACCCCCAAACCACTAAGAGAAACCAGTAAAAGGTAAAAAATATGAAAGTTTTCAAGTGAGAAAAAAGGTGGGAATTTTTCCTGGCAATATAACCTACTAACTTGTCTGATCCCTTTAGAGGGCAGAAAAGCTAAATTCCCAAATCAAGACCAGCCTAAGTCAGAGAAAAGAGTGCTGCATGGAGCATGAGGCCAGAAAAAGACTCAATCTGCCTCCCATCCAACAAAATCCTGGCTCTGGTACCATCCTGTGCATGGGATATAGGATGAGAAGGCAAGGACAGTGCTGACAAATTAAAACTGGGGTGAACCATACCCTGAGAGAAATTCAGTATCAAATTTACTCACTCCAGCTCCAGGGAACACATAACCCAATAGATCCTTTCCTCCTCTAATTCTTTCTGCTGTTCCAGATGTTGGCCAAAACACCACCACGCATCTGGACGGAACATTTGGTGAGAAAAGCAGCTGTTTGAGACAAATATTGGGGGAGCTCTTTTGGGATCTTCAGTAACTCCTGCTGCACATTCAGAGACACCCCTGCAGTGCCATCCCATGTTTGTGTTGGTGTGGGTTAATCCACAAATCCTCAAGGAAGGTCTGTTGTGGGTTATGCTGGATCCTCATAAACGTCTCCAGAGTTAACCAGCAAGTAACCACACCACACAAATTTACTTTGCTTTTAATTGTGGCTGTTTTCCCTGCCCTCTGTGAGAATTGCTTTCTTCTCTTCCACCTGCCAGAGTGAATCTGTGCTCACAGGCTAACAGAAATCACAGGATTTTGTGCTTGGATTATGCGTGCTGCCATCTATATGATTTCTGCCAAAACTTCCCCAATTTACCAAAGAATGTGGGAACTGCCATGCTGGTTGAGAAAACAGGGGTCCATCCAGCTGAGTGACCACAGCTGGACACCCAGGTAATCGTGTGCAGGCATGGGGGACGCTTCTCCCTGCTATTTTCCCTGTTTCCAACCATTTTCTGCTCAGGGACTTTCCTGAGCTTCTACGTGTCACAGCATCCACATCACTGGCCAAACCCTCAGGCAATTTATGTGCTGCAAAACCTCTGGCTACTAGCAGGGATATAAATCAAGCAGAATTAGAGTCATTGACAATAATTGGGGGAAAAAAAATCGGTGATTTGGAAGACATATATGAGTTTTGATCTTAATTTGGACTAAATCTCCCAGGAACATAAATTATCTGTTTGGCTGTCTCTGTTCCCTGCCATCCCTGTGGAATCCTGCTGTGCAATGGCACAGAGCAGTAAAGGATATCCCAAATCCAGTTTAAGGTGAACAGAAGGGCACTTCCACAGTGGAGAGGGCTGGGATTTTGGAATGAGGAGCTCCTTTCCAGCAGGCACAGGAACCAGGGACAAGAATCAGCTGAAGGAAATGGAAAGATGAGAGCCATGAAGTGAGGAGGGAAGGGGCTGGACAAGGGACAGACAGAGGTACAGAGAAGGCTCTGGAGGAATTATTTTAGGGCACTGATATAAATTTGGGAGTCAGTTTACATGAAAATGAGAAGAAAAAAACCCACAAGAATCCTTGGAGAAGAGACCCAAAAGTTACAGGTGCTGGGAGAAGCAGCACCTCATCTTTCAGTGTCCTGGCCAAGAAAATCAACCAAGTTCATTAAGGCAAAGAGAAGCCCAAGTCCAGTGATCAATACTGGACTCATTGTCCAAAATATCCTCATGAATGCAGACTGATGCCCAGGGCAGCAGCCATGCTAGGGAACTGTTCCCAACAGTTTGGGACCTTTGGACTAAAGATCCATTTTTCTCAGTGTTCCAGATGATGACATTAAAATCACAAGAATAATTTTCTGTGATAGACCAAAGTGCAAATATGTTAATTAAAGAGCTGTTTCAGTGAGATCTTATGATATTAATAAGCAACAAATTTTAACGTGATTTTCACCCGTATTCCCCAAAAGAAATCTGTACAACATACTTAAAATTATTTTGGAGGTATCAAGCAGTACTAGCTGCTGCCACCATTTGAGATTTAAACTTCGAATCCACTGTGCTTCATTTTTCAGTGCTCTATTAGTGCCCATTGAAAGAAGTTAGCATTTGCACAGATCAAATCTAACTTTAGAAAAACCTTCCTCAAACGAACAGATGAGAATGATTCCTCAAAACATAATAACCCAAGAAAACTTTATTCTAACCATATTCTTTGCCAGGGTGCACCCAGTTTTCCAAGCTCCCTCTCCCATTGTACACAGGTACATTTCAGCAGGAACACAAAGCACATTATCGCTTGCTCCAAGGAGCTCTGCAGCCTGCAGGATCTTTGCAGAATCCAGCCCGAAGAAATGCAGCACTTTGAGAAAACAGAGCTGTCAAACAAGATTTCCTTGGGCTTGCTGCCACACAAAATGGCAAACGAGGGACTTGATCCTGCATGGAAGACAATAGGAATTATAGGTGCTCAGCGTTTGTCTTCCGGCAGAGTTAAGGTTTCTCAGTAATTCCCCAAATCAGCCGTACTGCTTTATACTTATTCAAAATTACATAGCTAAAAGCTTTGGTATGCAGCCACAGAGCTTTTATTTCAAATTGGCAATAATGTAACTTCTGGAAAAAAAAAAAAAAAGACTACAATAATGTTAAAAATATCATAAAATGTTATTTATATCAGGATTCATTTGTTACCCCATATGACAATCATTCATATTTCTTGACAGATATAAACCTCCGCTTAACACATTAGTATCATAAATATTACCAGATATAACACTGTAATTTAATACCTACCAAATGTATTTTAAAATATTACTCAATTTAAAACTTTGGATTTTAACCAGATGTGTTTCCAGAAAATGATTCAGGTCAGATGCTCTTTTCTTTTCCCTTTTCTGTGTGTGCGCGTTCAAAGCGGAGCGTTCCTGTGTGATTTATTGTGCCATGACTGTGTGCCCCGAACCTAAAACAGCACCACGATACTTCATCCTTGAGGCTTACACACCTGCAGTCCAAACTAACAAGAGAAAACATCTACATGGCACGGCAGGAGCCTTTGAAATGTCTTTTTGCAGTTGCCTGGACACAGAACAGACTGGTAGAACAGGGAGGCAGCGGAGAAAGGGTGAAGACAGGAACTCCAGCCTCTTTCATCTAGAAAGGGGGGACCATGGAGAGATTAGAGGAAAGGATTTTGATTAGATCACTGGAATGTGAAATGATGCTTCCCAGGATTAAAATCCTATTTTAGAGCTACCAAACCGGTTACGGCGTTAGTCAGAATTCGGAGGCTCGCGCAGCTCCATCCCTGCTCCGTGCCCGGCTGTCGCTCCGAGCACCCCACGCCCTCTCCCCAGAGCAGGGGGCACCCCAGCCAGGCACCCCAGTCCCCTCCAGCATCATCCCAGCAAGAGGCTGCCCTCCCTCAAAGCATGGCACTTCTGGGGGAGAAGGAGTTTTCTTCCCCAAGGGCATCCCTGGGTCCAGCCCCACAGCAGTCATGTGGAGGCTCTTGGATTTCGGTCCCATTGGGCCCCCAGTTTAGATCACCACGTAGAGGTCTGACATTTTCATAACCAAATGCCATTAGTTTTATTCCCAGCACAGCCAACCAACAATCTGTAGGTCTGTAGTCGTCGGGCTGATCATTACGTGGAACCCATTAACATAAAACCCACCATCGCAATTAGTATCTTTGTAAGCAGCAGCCTCAGCAAAAAGTGGAAATGGAGGCTGAAATGATGGTGCTCTTCCAAAGGAGGCCGGCAGCAGATTGGGAAATAATCTGTGGCAATTGCTCTGCTGCTGTCTCTGCTGTCTCTGCCGTAACTCCGTGCTAGACAGGCAGAGCCATTTCCAAGCAGTCAGCCCACGGACTTGAGCGAGCACTAAATTCACTCGGTGATCAAATACAATTTGAGAAAAAATCTACAATCGCTCACTTGGGGGGGAAGAGATATTTTCCTTTTACAGATGAAGTGCAAAAAAGCAAAAGTAGCTGTATTTGGAAAAATACTGTGCACTTTATTGATTCCAGAGGGGACAGGTACAGACCGTGGGATTGCCCATTTCCCGGTAAAAACAGGGAATGATTTCGAGGGGTGCAAGGTATCTGCAGGCTGGTTTGTTTTGTTAGGAGATGAGCCGGTTAAAATGTTCTTTGCTTTTCAGGAAGGGAACAAGGAAAATGTTCGTATTTATAGCAACATTATTGTTTAGAACAAAATAAGTTATCCCATCCTTTTAATCTCCGTTTCTATGGCTATCCTGCGCGGGGCTGGGATCTGAATTTCCAGCCTCCGTGCGATCCGTCTCCCCTCGGCAGCGGCCGGCGCACCGGCCCTGGCAGGGAGCGCCTGTCCGCGCTGAAGAGATCCCGTTCCAGGCGCTCCCGGACCGCCCCGGACACCGGGAACCCGCTGCCCTCGACGCACTTTTTCATTGTTGTTTCCCCAAAACTCTCTGCACTTGGCTAATTTTAGCCCCGCGGCTCCCCGAGCGGGCTCCCCCCGCCGCCGCTCCGGGCACCATTTGCCGGGCGATGCGCTGCCATGAACCCGCACCCCTCCGGCCCCGCGCGGCTGTCCCCGCACCGCCCCGCATCGCCCCGGGCCGGCATCCCCGCGCCCGGCCGTGTCCGCATCCCCCGCGCCGCTGTCCCCGCGTCCCCCCGCACGGCGCGGCCGCGCTCCGCGCGCTC